GGGGTAACTAGAAAAGGATTATGGAGAAGTCATCTGATCAAGTTCAGACTATAAATAAACTAAGGGGAGTGAGGGGTTTCCAGTGCCCCATTTCCTGTCTCCACATGTTAAGGGGGCCATAAACAGTAGCAGGCAGGGAGGACAGAGGACAGTGATGAGGCTGGGAAGGGGGCTGCTCCAGGTCTGAGGAGGAGCACAGATGCTTGAAGGCTGTTTGGCCTAGAGAAGACACAGGTGCACTTGGGTTCCGTCCTCAGACTCCTGAAGGTCAGAGAGAGCAGACAGGGTCCAGGTGGTCCCAGGGGGCACAGTCGGGACCCAGGGTTAGAAGCCTCAGGGAGGCACAGTTAAGTTCAACATGAGAAAAACTTTCAGACATTTCAAAGACGAAAGCAACTTGCTTGAAACATATCGCATTCCCACGTACTGAACATGAATGAGCAGGAACTGCACGAGTACCTGTCGGGAAGCCCCAAGTTTCAGAAGGAAAGTTGGACCTAGTACCCTCTAAAGGTCCTTCTCCCCTGAGCTCTGCCTGCGTACCTACCTCTAGAGGGGTTGTGGGAGAGAGCATAAAGGTGACTGGAGCTGGGTAGGCCCTTGGCTGCTTCCCACAGGGACCTGGGATCCCAGGAGCACCGTGGGCTGGTATGACCGAGGGGGAGCAGTTCACTCATTAACTTGTGCTGAATGGGTCAGAGAGTGGCTGGCCGCTTGGGACAGACACAGGCTTGGGGAGGGGCCAGAGAGCAAACTGCAGAAAAGCCCATGCACAAGGAGAACCCAAGCTGTGGCAATTCAGGGCTTGGCCAGCTCAAACTGACCCCGCTGGCTGAGAACATTCAGTGTCTGGGCCTGGATGAATTTGAAGCCAGCTCACCATTGCCCAGAAGATAAGAAAAGGGTCTCGAGTGGGGAGGCATACTTGCATAGCTGAAAGGAAGGCTGACAGACCACTGAGTCTGCCTGCCACCTGCCCTACCCACTTTATAGTCGTGGAAACTGAGGCCCAGAGAAAGCAAAAATCACTCACTGAGAGAAAGCTATAAAGGGGGCAGAACCAGAAGCCGTTTCCTAACTCTGTAGCAGGCCCATGGGGTGGTTCCTTCTCTTCCTACTGAAACTGCAGAAAACTGCATGTGATCTGGAGCTTTCTAAATTGGGTCTGGGTCTGGCTCTGGGTCCTGGCCCAACCCTTCCAAAGTACCACTGCTTGTCTAGATACAGGCTCCCAGAGGAAGGCATCCTCCTCCACTTACAGAGCCCCTCAGCCTCTCAGCAGCCACCATGTGGTTGGCTGTCCCCATTCCCACTGCAGCCTAGTGTGGAGGGACCCACAGCTGTACTGAAAACAGACACACATTCCCACAGCCTAACTCCATCCCCAGCATCGGCAGACCCTTTGGGTGCGCATTTCTTGCTCTTTTAGACTTTCAAATTGAGATGAGGGGATCAACTACTCCTAGAAACACCCCTACCCCTTTTTAACTCTGATGCTGGACCCCACTGCCCATCCAAATCCCCATCAATTCACTCCCCTTCCCTTCTCAATACCATCCAAGCTGAACCCATGTCCTTCAAATGGTGTGAATAATTGCTTCTGTTTGCCCAAGTAAAGGACGAAGGGGCAGGCTTTTAACTGGCCCCAGAAGGTCCCGTGACTGAATGTTTGTCAATGTTCCCTTGGGGGAAGGTGAGGGTTCAGGACACGGTCTCTTTAAGGCCTGGGGTGGACAGGGAGTTAGTTAATGACCATCCCCTAAAGATGACTTTCCAAGGTGGTTATTATGTGGCTCAATGATTAACCAAGCAGTGGCAAGACCCCAGGCTTGTTGGAAGGAGGCTGCTCTTTTCCCAAGGACAGCCCAAGAGCAGGAACCTGCAGTCAGGGAGAATATTCCTGGGGTCTTTCTCTCTCTTTCTCCGACAGGCTGCGGTGAGGTGGGTGGGGGCAGAGGCCTGCACTGAGGGAATCTCTCCCTCAGCCCCGCATGGGGGTAGAGGGCTGGCCCGGATATGGAGGAAGTCAGCACACCCTTACTGGGGCGGAAGGGAAAAGAGAGACAGTGAGGGTTTTTATCATGAATGAGAGAGGAAGCTCCAAGCTGGGCCTTGGTGATTAGATGACAAGCTGGGAAAGACGTTCATCCTGAATACATCCTGTTTTGCTCTGAACTGGCCTCGGGGGTCAGGCACAGGGGAGGGGCCTAGGTGGAGAGCAGCCTCCCAGAATACTCCTAGACCTGCGGACCCCAAACTCCTGGGTGCCCCGGACTGGGGAAGCAAGTGTGAGAGTGAGAATGTCATTTTCTGCTAGAGAAACAAAGGCAGGAAGTCTCTGCAAGAAGCCTCCATGGGTCAGCCTCCAGATCTGGAGCCCTAGAGGTGGCTAACATCTGGACTGGGACCTTTCCTGGGCCTCTCTTCCAAGGTTCAGCTCAAATGTCACTGCCTCTATCCGTCACCTTCCCCTCAGTCAAAAGCAATCACTCCCTGGAATGGATTCCCAGGGCAGAACGGACGCCCAGGGCAAATAAGTCCTTCTCAACAATTGGAAATATGAACACTTACCGTTTATTTGATAATATTAAGAAATTATTTTAGGTGTGATAATGGCTGTTTTTATGAATCCTTACCTTTTAGAAATACGTATTGAAATATGTATACATGAACTGATAAGGTATCTGGGATTTGTTTCAAAATGACAAGGGCATGATGTAGATAAAAGTGTGGACAGGGCAGGATTGGTCGTGGGCTAATGGCTGTTGAAACTAGGTGATGGGTACATGGGGTCTTAGTATACTAATTGTCTCTATTTTTATATATGTTTGAAATTATTCCTAATAATTTTTTAAAAGCCATCACCAAGGTATTATTATTTAATACATAAATAATTAGTGGCATGTATTATTTATGCCACTAACCCCCAAACTAGATGGTAGATTCCCTGGAGCTGGGGGTTTTAACTCCGTGTCCTCCACAAGACCTAGCACCAAGCCGAAACCTAATGACTAATAGTTTATACAGCACGTGATAGTTTACAAAGCACTTAGCCATGGATTCCCTAGTTTAATCCAGTGAAGTGGAAAAAATGAGAAGAAACCCACAGTCGGAGAATTTGAGGGGGCAGCAGAGCCTGGAGTTAAAGCTCCCCATGTCCAACTTCCAATCCCCTGTTCTTTGCTCCATGCCACCCTGGACTCCTAGGGAACTTAACATTCAGTTCTAAAATTCCTGTGTGTGGTCGATGTAAACAGGAACAGCAACTGTTTAGCATGCAAGTTACCAACCTGCAGGACTGGGGAAAAGGAAACTCCACCCACAAACACAGCACTTCAGACTTGTGACAAGGGCCCAGGCTGTGGCCTCCAGTCCACTGGTTCCTATCTATCAGGACCCTTTCCGAATGCATGCCCATGCACAAGTGTGCACACACAAAACCAAGACCCCTTAATACACACTTGACACCAGCAAATGTGTGCCCAGCCCAGTGCTCAACTACCCTGTTGTGGGGTGGGGAACAACGGAAAACTCACCTAGATCTCCGAGAGCTCATACTTCCCACCCTACAGCCCTTGCATCTTTGAAATCTGCTGTCCCTATTTTATCTGCTGAACAGCTTTCCTAAGGCTCATAGCCATGACACCGGATCCTACCCAAACTGGGAGCCTGAGGGAAAAGGTCCTTCTCTTCTTTTCATGGTAGAGGCAACTCTTTCTTCTAGCCAGAAAAGAGGTGAGGGCACAGCCTGCATGTGATAAACCTGCCATCTGTTGAACCTGAACTTTCCATGGCTCAAATAAGGAACTCCAGGAGTCTCCTAGCAGCAAAGCAGCTGCAGCTGTGACAGCTTCCCAATTGGAGACTCCATCCCCTCCTCCCTTTGGGACCTTCTTGCCTTTGAGTCCCTGTTGCTATCCTCTAAACCTGGACATAGGGGTCCTCTGCTCCCTCTCCAATCTGTAGTCCCAATAATGGAATTTTAAAGCTTCAAGAGGACAGAGAGGGACAACATTCAAGCCTTCTTGGTGCCACTTTCTTTGCTTCTCTGCTGGAACTCAGGAGGTATTATGTTTGAATAAGGAAGGCTCTGCCATCCTCCCCACATGACTCACTGCAAACCCTGTCTCAAGCAAGCACATAGGGCACACAGCCCCGTTGCTTTGCACACCTTCAGTTCAGCCCTTCTTCTTGCTCTAAACACCTCCAGATATCATCTCTAGGCAGCCTCTCCTCTCCAGGTGGGAGAGGGGAGCTGTAGATGCACAGAGAGGTTTAGCATACTTCAAAAACAGGAGAGGCAGTGTCCAGTGTGGTGTTTCCTAGCACTAAATATAGAGGTCTAGGGAGCAGAAATCCAAAATCCAAAGTCCAGCACATTCACAAAAAGTCACGTCCCTAAAATGAAAACCAGCCCAGAATGTCCAGCTAGATGGCAGCTGTACCTTTAGAGTGAAAGAGTTTCACTACCGACCCCTATACTCTTATAGCGAAACACCATCCTTCCCATCACACTCTTCCCGCTGTGAAAGCCACCCAGAAATCACCACCTGCAGCCTTCTCCACGCCTTTGGGCTGCCCACCTTCCCATCCCATCCGCAGACAAGATTTGTCCCCCTTTCATTCCAGGAGGATGAAAATGAGAGGAAAACTCAGAGGGCAATAATACAGGTGTGCGGGGGTGGGGGGAGGAGAGGGGGCGGCAAATCCTGGAGTGGGGAGGGAGCAGGTCGCACCCGAGGAGTCAGGGTTTGAAAATAGCCCTGAGTGTGATTCATTAACTCCTCCTCCCCGCTTAGGCTCTGACTGGGAGAGAAGCCAGGGCCCTGGGACTTGGGGGTAAGCATAGGCTCCAAGCCAGCCCAATCTCTGAGGACCCCAACCTCTGTGGCCCCAGGCTCTGGAAGAAAACTCCCACCTCCCCCTACCTTGGTCTGGCTGCTGTCGCCCACCCCTCCACGCACACTCTAGTTTTCCAGCTGGCTTAGCTGCATACTCACCACAAAGCTCTCTGTGTGCATAGCTGGGGCCACCCGGAGCGTCTCAGAGAGAACTTTTTACCTGCCAATTAGGAGCCTGACCCCAGGTACCAAGTAACCAAATGTCAGGGTGAAAGAGATCGGGCCCTTTAGATACTGAAATCAAGCTGCCACCCGAGGTGTGGCTTAAAACATTATGGCCCACACAGTAGTATGACTCGCCTAAGGTCACATGGACTGGCTGAACCCCAGTTTTCTGAGTTGTAATTCAGCGAGCAACTTTCACAAGTGTCAGGAGGAACGTGAACCCCACACTACCTAATTTGGAAATCCCAAAAATTCCACTGAAAAGCCTTTCCTCTAATCCAAACTCATTTTGGACTTTATGGGAAAATGAGACCTATGAAGACGAGACATGTCCAAACGTTTTCGCTTGGTCCCCGCAGCTACCTTAATACCAAGAAGTCCTGGGCGTTTCTCAGAAGGGAAAGCAAGGAGGCAGTGGCCGACGGGAAAACCCATACAGCCGGACGGGGGCTTCCTGGAAATGCCCCGGAAAGCAGAGAAAGGAGAGGGCAGGCGAACCGGCGGGACCCGGCCACCGGGCCTGAAGTCCCGCCGCCCCCGCCCAGCTGCAACCCTCCTCCAAAGCCCCAGAGCGACTGCTGCGAGACCCACGGGCCCGGCGGTAACAGGCGGACAGCTGCCTTCCACCGCCCCACTCGCGAGGCTTCGCTGGAAGACGCTCGGCTGGCGCGCTCGGGGGTCCCCCAATTTCGGCGACTCTGACCCCCCAATCCCAGGGGCAGAGGTGGTTCAGCTCGCTTCCTCCCTGTCTCCTGCGTACGCCGCCCGGCGGAACCGCTAGGAGAGGGGCCGAGCCGGAGAGCGCCAGAGAGGCAAGGCGGGGAGAGGGAGCTCAGGCGCCCCAGTTTGTCCGGATCTCCCTCTGCCGTCGCCCCTACTCCTACCTGGAGGCCGCGTCCACCCCTTTGGGTTCGGGAGCTGACACAGAGCAAACCGGCAGGAGGCGAGCCCAGGAGGGACTGCTCCGTCCGGGGCACACGCGGGGCCTGGGGTCGGGCAGGGGTAACGGTGCCAGCCAGAAGAGCAGCTGCCGCGGCTGCTGGCTGCTTAAGCCGTTGTCAACCCGAGTCAACTCAGCGCAGGTGGGGAGGGAGCGTGGGCTAGCAGGGCTGTAGGGACGCCCCGCCCACCTCCCCTCGGCCAATGGGGGCGCAGTCTGGCCCACCGGACTCGCCAGAAAGTCGCCCAAATCTGGGTGGGCGGGTCACTGCCTACCGGTCCTCCAATGCCCTCGCCGCTGCCTTTCCCTGGGGTCACACCGCTGCCAGGGAGGAGGTGCAAGCCCAACGACTGAGGCTCAAGGAGCGACGTGGCCAGGCATACAGGCTAATATTTATTGAGTTATGAATGAGTCTGGCACTGTTTGGGGGATTTAAACACATATGCCATGTGCCTGGGAGAGTTCAGTGACTTGCTCGATAGTTTATGGGATGTCCAGAAGACATAACTTCGGTGAAATCTCCAACTGGTAGCGGAAAACCCGATGATTAGGAATTTGAGTAGGAAGCTGCCATTCCTACCTTGCTCAGGCCCCAGTGGCTCTGCAACTTCTCCAATACCCCAGGCTTCTGTCCCCTACCCCAAGTCCAAACTCTACCTCCGCAGAGAAATGCATGGAAAACTTGGGGCATGAACATTAATCGTGGCAGGGGAGGGCTTCCAGGAGTTCTGATAGTAAGCACCACCAGAAAGCCCATTCAAATTCAGTAAGAAACAAGAGCCTTCGGCTTTGATTTCTCTCTGGCCTTTCATCACAAGGGTCCAACACAAGTTCACAACCTTGATTTCATTGTTGAATTGAGGATTCCTATTAGTCAGGACTGAGAGTATCCAGGACCTCATGCAGTTCAACTGCTATCCCTCACATTTATAAAGACAGAAACTGAGCAGAGATAACTCACTTAAAGCTACCCAGCCTGGAACTCCTGGGGTCAAGAAAATCTCCTGCCTAAACTTCCTGAGTAGCTAGGATAACAGGTGTGTGCCACTATGCTCAGATAATGTTTAAATTTTTTTTATAGAGCTGAGGTCTTGCTATGTTGCCCAGGCTGGTCTCACACTCCTGGTCTCAAATGATTTACCCAGAAAATCCATGGCAGGGTCAATACCTGTACACTGGTTATTTTCTCCATACCATTCCTAGAAGGCAGGAACTGCGTCCATCTAACTTGCTTGTTAGAGTATCCAATACAGATGAGAGCAAAAATATCTGTCTCTGAGGGCAGCAACTTTATCAAGGTCACCCAGGCAAAGACAGAGCCAGACCTAACCCAGCCCCAAGTGCCCCTCTGCTGTCTAGCCTTCAGTTCACTAGGCCAAACTGAAATTCTCCCACATTCCTTCCCTGCTGGCCCTGATGAGAGTCAGAGGAGCAACGATAAAGTGACACTACCACCACTGTGTGTATCCCATGTATCCCTCTTTTCCTCTTGATGGCAGGACTGCCGCTCGTATCCTCTAGCAATTTGTTCAAGGTGAGCCAAGTCCCTGTGGATCTGTGGATGAGGCCTGTACACCAGAAGTTAGTCCCAGAAACGAAATCCTTCTGGTGGGTGGGAAGGGATATGACCTCCTTCCTGAGGCTAGGCTTTAACAATGATAAGCATCCTTAAGGCTCTGAGTTGCAGCCAAAGGCATCTTGCCTGTGCACAGTGCTAAAAAGGACAAAAAGTGGGGTCCTGCAATGATTTTATCATTTTCCTAAGGGCAAGAAACCCTGTCAAAGTCAATTCCATCCACTCCAAGGCACCAAACACAGTGCTTACAGTACTTTCCTCACTATTGTTTGCTAATGAATGAACAAATGTTGAAAGATAGTCAAAGCACAACCAAAAATAAATGACAATCATATGACTAATGAGCAAAGTCAACTTATCTTTTAGTAGATACATTTAACTGAATCAGATATCATGGGTTCTGAGACACCAGCTGTTTTTTTTTTTTTTTAAAGCCATCAAACCAGGAAACAAAAAAGGAGGGGGGTATAGTACAAAAACTACCAAAAAATGGGGCACTGCTATAAATACTTAGAAGGAGAATTTTGCAGTGCCTGGCATAGAGTAGATGCTCAATAAAAATGCTTGTCGAATTACAGTGAACACAACTGTCAGGGAAAGCTACAATCATAATATTTGCCACACACACTGTGACATTTTGAAATGGCCCAAGCGATATCAGGGCTATTTCTTTTGGTCTTTTGTGATCTCCCTCTTTTATTCTGGCCAGGAGAGCTCAGCCTGTTCAGCAGGGCAAAGATAGCTCATCCCCTTCAATACCCCTGCCAACCCCTGCTCCCTGTGCCTGAGTCTTGCAAGGATTAATCATGCCTGGAATGGATGAGAAAAAGAGTACCTTTTCACAGGCCCATTTCTAGGTTGCAGCCTGAGTGACTGTGGAGGTAACTGGAAGCTTTAGGTTCTTGACTTCCCCTTTTCCTCAAGCCCTCACTCTTGCCTGTGTGTCCTACAGTACCATTACTCCTGCTACCTTGGATGCCAGCTCAGTCATCAGGCAGGGGAATGTAGAGTGCTTGAAGCAGGTCAAGGGCTGGCAAAAAAAAGTATCTGTGTGTGTGTTTGTGTGTGTGTGTGTGTGTGTGTGTTTCTATGCCTGAGGCATGGGACTTTCCTCATTCTACCACCACCACAGACTACATAAGTCCCACAAGAGGGAGTATAATGGACTCTGGAGCCAGATGGCCTGGGTACAAATGGCCTCTGCTACATACTAGCTGTGTGACTCTGCCTCAGTTTCCTCATCTGGAAAGTGTAGATGATCATCACAACACTGACCTTAAATAGCTGCAGAGCAGATCCACTAGGCTAAATAAACACTTAGAATGATGGCTGGCACGTAGTAAGTGCTTATAAGCGTCAGATATGGTGAGAAGCACTGAGCAGTAGTAGAATGAACCCTGGGTTAGGAAGTAGTAGAGCTAAATGCTGGCCCCAGTTCTACCACTTTCTTGTTATGCCACCCAAGACGAGTCATTGTGCTACTCCAGCCATCAGTTTTTTCACCTATAAATAACAAGACTAGAGTATAATAACCACAGGGTAGAGTGGAGACAATAAATGTGAAAGTATACCGTAAAGGACTGTGGCAGGTGGCAGGATGGCACTGAAGGTGCTATAGAGCTAACCTTTGGGGGACCTATCAGCCCTTTTATCCTAGGCTATGGCAAAGAGCAGTTCCATATACCATTCCCCTGAGCCTCACTCTGAGACACTTGGGTCCCAATAAGGGCCTACCTAAGGACTCTCAGCAGTCCCCACCCCCTCCCTGCCTGGGAATGGGAGTTGCTCGAGCTGTTGCCAGCAGACCCATGCCCCCACTCTGGAATGGCTGGGTTAATATCCAGAAGGAACCAGATAGACTCTTCTACTACTCTTTTCCATAGGAGCTAAAGAAACGGCAGCCAATCACTTCAGGGAATTCAGGTGGGAAGTTTCTAGAAAAGGGGTTGGAGCAGTGAGGGGAAAATGAATTACACTCAGACCAGCCCCACCCAGCACATCAGCACGGGTGGCCTCACACACAGGCTCTGACACTTGTACGCACATTCCTGCATGCCTCACCGAAGCCTGCTCCCTGGTGGCTCGGGGCCCCCGGCCAGCCTCATGAAAGGGGGCTATTGATCAGGTCCCACAACATAGGATACTCATGGTTTATTAAAACAAACAAACAAATAAAACAAACAAAACAAAAAAACCTTCCTGAGGAGCTGTAGCCATAGGAGGGAGATTTGCACTAAGAAGACAGCCCAAGCAGGGGCAGATGTGGACAAAGGGCATACAGTGGTGGGGAGGGGTTTGAAAAGGTAAGGGCCACACAGACACCTCACTGTCTATACATTGCTAAGTGTGGATGGGGGACAGAAAGCTACATCCTGGAAGGAGCACCCCTTCTCAGCCCACAGCCTAGGGGACTCTCACGGTTGCCTCCACCCTCACCCCGGAGCACCCCGGAGCACCCTGGAAGGAGGAGCTCTGTGCTGAGCTCAGAGCCCTGGGCTGGCAGTGAGGGACTCTGGAGCACAGGCCAAGCCAGGCCCAGACCAGGTGAGATTCAAGGGTCACTTAACCTCTCTGCCCTCGCCCTCCCTAAGCTCAGACACAGAGGTGCGGGGCGGCTCATGACTGCCTCCAGGCACTTAGACCGGGCAGGTGGAGCTAGATAACCCAGGCCTGGCTCTCTCCCAGACATGAGGGGCCTGTCATCTCCCCTCAACCAACACCAGGCAGTGTGCCAGTCTGATGGAAGGCCTGGGCGCCAGCATCCACTTGGTAGAAGCCCTGGGCCATGACAGTGCCACAGGTCCCATTTCACACCCAGGATGGGCCTCCGGACTGACCTTACTGGCCTGTCTCCCAGGGGCCAGAGGTTTTCTGCTACACGCAGATGGAGCACCCCCCATACGCCTCCGGGAAGTCTGCCTGCCCAGCCCTAACAAATAGGTGGGGTCACCCTGGACAGAGCACTTGGTGACCGTGGTGGCACAGATGGTCAGAGCAGGATGTCCACCCCAGTGGCCCACCGCATTCCTGCCCTCCAGAGGAAGATCACAACGTGCAGAGGGGAGATGAGCAAAGACAAGACCGCCTCTGACACAACCCCGCACCCCACACACAGCAGGCGAGGCCAGGAGCACTCCTCTCCGCCCAGCTTAGTCTCAGTCCTCAGCCCTGGAGCTTGCTCCTCCCTGGCTAGGCCCACTTTCCTCATCTGGAAAAAAACGGGGTGGGCCCTGGTTCTAGGATCCTTTCCTTCCAGAATGCTCTGCTTCTGTGAGCTCCTCTGTGTGTTCCCATGGGGGTGGGGCATCTGCAAGTCCAGCATGCACA